TCTCCTCTCCGCCCGGCGGAGGGATGGGCGGCCGCGGCTGCGGGCCGGCTCCGGCCTCGCCTGGGCTCCCTGGCCGGGCCGCAGGGGCCCCCAGCCGCCCCGGCTTCCTTCCTGGCCCGGGCTTGGGGGCGGGGGCCAACCCTGAAGGCTCAGACACCGGATTTTTCCTGCCCCAGGACGCACCTTCTTCAGGTGGCTCGGCGGGGCCAAACCCTCCACATTCCACTGTCTGTTTCTGGAGCGCCCACTGGGTGCGCCCCGCACTCTCCCAGCTGTCGTCCTCACAGATCCTTTTATCCAGATCGCTTGGCTCAGAGAGGTTGCGTGACTTGCTCAAGGTCACACAGACCGGAAGTTACCGCGTTAGGGTGTCAAGATTCGGAAAACGGAATTGATTCTAGAGCTGGGCGGGTTTTCTTTTATCGCGTGCGTCTCTGCCGCCTGAATCCTCGCCAGCTGAAGGGAGAGCGAGACCTTCCCTTGCTTCTTCCAACTCCCCTCCCCTTGCTAAAGATCGAAGAAAACCAGACTGCTGGGTCTGAGAAGCTGGGTCCCCTAAAGCCGTCAACAACCAGGTAGGGATCCTGCATAAAGTTTGGCCTAAAGTTTGCCAGGGGGAGAAACACGCTGGAAATGCGCTCGGCTCCCACCCCTCTCCCCTTCCTCTTCCTACTCTTCTTTTGGAAACAGCTTTACTGAGATGAAGTGCACTACATTCTACTCAGCCATTTCAAGTATGCAAGTCAGTGCTTGTTAGTGTATTCACGGAGCCCAGCAGCCACCCGGCCAATTTTAGAACATTTTCATCACCCAGAGCAAGCCTGTAGCCTTTAGCTGCAACCCCCTCCCCACCTTCCCAGCCCCAGAGCAAGGCTAATCTCGTTTTCACCTCTATGGCTTTTCCTGTTCTGAACGTTTTGTACAAGCCGAATTGTGCAGCGTGCCCTGCGGCCTTTGTATCTGGCATCTTCCCGAGTTTGCAGGTTCTCGGCCTGTGTCAGTACTTCGCTCCTAATTCAGTAAATGAATACATTTGTTTCCCTAGTCCTCCCTCCTGGCTATGTAGATTGTCCCCACCTTTTGGCTATTGTGACTAATCCCCCAGCCACTTCTAGCCTACTGTCTGACCCTTTAGAGTCACCTGCTAGGGGTGAACCCTTCCTTAATAATGAGCCCCATTTTCCCCTCAAGGCTGGCTTCGTGGTCTCCTGACCTGTGCAGCAGCATGGGGTCTGACCGTGGCTTAGTGTCTGCTGTTGAAATTCTTTATACTTTTTAAACAAAAGGCTGCATCCTCTCATTTCTCACCAAGTCTGCATTTATGCAGCAGGTCTTGCTTTCTGGACAGTCTGGGCAGAGCCCTGGACATGCTGAGTCCATGTCCCCATAGGCTCCGTGCTGGCCTGACTCTGGCTTCCTTTGCTCC